CGGGGGGCAATGGGGGGCCTGGGCAGCCCGTGCTGCGCGTAGCACCCCGGAGGCAGGCGTGTTCGGCGCCGGAGGTCGGCCCGAGCACGGTGCGATGGGAGGGCGCAGTGCCGGAGGGAGGAGTGCGGTTTGAGCCGCGTCTCAGACGTGCACACGTGCCCTCGCTGGCCCTCGCCGGCCACCCTGGTGAACTTGCCCCCGACCTGCGCGCGTTCCTGGCGAGCGGTGCCTCGAGCGCCTTTCTCGGCCGAGCCCCGGGTTTGGAGGCTGTGTGACCGCCCCGACGGGCCCAGCGCCCCAAGGTGACCGGGCGCGCGGGGGCCCCAGCGGCTCTGCCTGGAAAGGCGCTGTCCGGGGAGGGCTGGGAGAGGCCGGCGCAGGCCGGCCACGTGTGCGCGTGTGTGGTGGGCAGGCGGCAGCTGCCGTCTGTTGTGTCTGGGACTGGTGTGACTGCCGTGCGCGCGTGTGAACAACATGGCGCTCGCCGCTCCCTCGCTTGGCCTACATGGATACTTTCTCTCCACTTTCTCTTTGAGCAGTTTCGATACAAACGGAGAGTTTATGCCCAGAATCTCATTGATGACAAACAGTTCGCAAAGCTGCACACTAAGGTAAAGAGCGGGTCTCGGGAAGGCGCCCCCCACGGCCTCTGCCCCAGCCAGCCTGGCTGACCACAGCTGCTGCAGTACTGGTCCAGTACTCTCTCCTCTTCTGTCAGGCGCTTGCCTGCGCTGGGAGAGTAGATGTAGATGCTGTACTTGTTGGGCCTGACAGAGAGGGTGGAGATAAGTGTGTGCATGTGTTGGGAGCCAGCTAAGAGAGAGACCTAGGCTAGCTTCGAACCACCATTCTCAGATTTCAGCCTCCCCAGTAGGTAGGATATTCTGGCCCCCGGCTCATAGGCAGACTTCTTGATCTACCACTCTCTGCCAGCCAGTTCTGTGGACAGTAGGCCTTTTCTTGGTGGATACGTCATTGTACATCCCTAGAGCCTAGGAGAGGGCTTCTGTGACTGGCGCCAGATCCTTAGGCTTTTTTGTTTTGTTTTGTTTTTTGTCACTCGTGGGGCTAGAACTCTGGGCTTGGGTGCTGTACCTGTGCTCTTCAGCTCAAGGCAAGCGCTCTACAATTTGAGCCACAGCCCCACTTCATCCTTAGGCTCTTTTGCCAGATTTTTTTTTTTTCTGTTCCTACGCAGTGGCAGTCAATGGTCCTGGGTTGTAGCTGGACAGAAAGCATCTCAGAAAGATCTGTTTCTCTCCAATGGCCCTCATATTGACCCTGTCACTCTGAGTCCCTCTGATATCTCTCCCCAGGGACCCACAGGACACTAGTAACTTGTTTTTCAGTGAGTCTTGTTTTTTTCTTTTCTTTCCTTTCTCTCTATTCCTCATTTCCTTCCTTCTTTCCTTCCTTCTTTCTTTTCTTCTTTCCTTCCCTCCTTCCTTCCTTCCTTCCTTCCTTCCTTCCTTCCTTCCTCTTTTTTTTTTTTTGGATGGTCATGAGGCTTGAACTCAGGGCCTAGGCACCATCTCTGAGCTTTTTTGCTCAAAGCTCGTGTTCTCTCACTTTGAACCATGGCATCACTTCCAGTTTTTTGGTGGTTAATTGGAGATAAGAGTCTTGCTGGGACTTTTCTACTCTGGCTGACTTCAAACTGCAATTCTAAAATCTCAGCCTCCCGAGTAGCTAGAATTATAGATGTGAGCCACCAGCGCCCACTTCAATCCTGTTTGCCTTTAGAATGAATCCAAACTCCTTACCTTAGCCCTGTGCCTCTGTGTGCCCAAGTTGTGCTCTCCCCATCCTCCTTGGGTCTGACTAAGATCTCTTAGAGGCTTTGCACCAGCCTTCCCTGTTTGTGAGCACCTTTCTTCTGGTTTCATCATATATAACAATGACAGTGGTCCCAGAGTGGTCTCCTTCCTTGTCTCTGATGCATGCTGAGTCTTTCTGGAGTTTGTGTGTATGGTATCCATTCTACCAGCAAATGCTAGTGAGGCTTTGCTGGGTGGCCTGTGTAGGATGTGTGAAAGAATAAAATGGAAAATCATGTCACAAGGGCCTCAGGGGTCTGCCGTAGGGATGAGCTTGTGAAGATGGTCAGAGAATAGTTGAGGATTCAGGGCTGCTGTAGGTCTAGAAGGCTCCTGCTAGAGAGGACTCAGCTTGTGCAGGCTGGCACCATGCTCCAGGGCTGGAGCACCACAGTCAGAAGTAGAATGAGGGCAGTGAGAGCTTGAGAGCAAGACATAGACTCATTTGAAGGGTATGACTAGGGTGACCAGGCTGTAGTGAAAAATGCCAGGCTTAGGTTGATAGCTGTGGTAGGTTTGGCGATCAGGATATAAGGAAGGGCTTTGAATGGTACGTGAATCCAGCTAAGCTGGAATTAGAGCTGAGATAGTAGTATGGAGCTAGGTAACATTGCCGGCTACTGGCTCACACCAGTAGTCCTAGCTACTCAGGAGGCTGAGATCTGAGGATCCTGGTTCAAAGCCAGCCTGGACAGGGATGACTGAGATCTGAGTATCCTGGTTCAAAGCCAGCGTGGACAGGGATGTCTGTGAGACCCTTACCTCCAACTCAAAAAAAAAAAAACAAACCAGAAGTCAAAGCCAGCCTGGGCAGAAAAATCTGAAATTCCTATCTCCAATTAACCACCAGAAAACTGAAAGTGGTGCTGAGGCTTAAAGTGGTAGAATGCTAGCCTTGAGCAAAAAGATCTCAGGGACAGTGCGCAGGCCCCCAGTTCAAGCCCCACTACTGACCAAAAAATAAAAAATAAAGCAAGACATCGTATCAGAGTGACAGGGAACAGTTGAACATTTTATAAATGGCCAAATACTTCCTAGAGGTAGGGAGCAATGGTTGGATGGCCATGGCACCCAGCTGATTAGGATGGCTGGTGTTTCAGGCAAACCTAAAGAAGTTCATGGACTATGTCCAGCTGCACAGTACGGACAAAGTGGCCCGCCTGCTGGACAAGGGGCTGGACCCTAATTTTCATGACCCTGATTCAGGAGGTGAGTTGCAGAACAGAGTGGGAGAGGTTACCGTTGAGTGGTTAGGAGCCTGACTTTTCATTTCTTCCTCACCTCAGAGTGCCCTCTGAGCCTTGCGGCACAGCTGGACAATGCCACTGACTTGCTGAAGGTTCTACGCAATGGTGGTGCTCACCTAGACTTCCGCACCCGGGATGGGCTAACTGCAGTCCACTGTGCCACCCGCCAGCGAAATGCGGGAGCGTTGACGGTCAGTGGGGTTCCTTCTGACCTGGAGGGGCATGGGTGCGGTAGAGGAGGAGCTGGCCTGGCATTGATGCTGAGGTGCCTTCTCTTAGACCCTGCTGGACCTGGGTGCTTCGCCTGACTACAAAGACAGCCGTGGCCTGACACCCTTGTACCACAGCGCCCTAGGGGGTGGGGATGCCCTCTGCTGTGAGCTTCTTCTCCATGACCATGCACAACTGGGGACCACTGATGAGAATGGTTGGCAGGAGATACACCAGGTGGGCTGGGTCCCTGGGGTGGGGTCCAGGCCCTGTCCAGGCAGGGGTTTTAGCCTCTGGGATATTGCAGCACCTCTGTCTTTTCTAGGCCTGCCGCTTTGGCCACGTGCAGCACCTGGAGCACCTGCTGTTCTATGGCGCCAACATGGGTGCCCAGAATGCCTCAGGAAACACAGCCCTGCATATCTGTGCTCTCTACAACCAGGTGTGTCCTTCTGCTCCACATTTGAGTGTGCATACTTAGACACTGTGTGTGTGTAATGAAGTGTGAGCATGTGTATATATGTTCCTTCACAAAAATGATTGTTCTGGCTTACATACCCCTCCCCATGTGTGCTCTGTGTCCTCCAGTGAGTTCTAGTTACTGGATTGCCTGCCTCATGGGCCTGTTTGTGTATATTTATTCCCTGAACATACATATGTGAACATGTGTGTTCTGAACAAAATTGGGTATGAATTGTGTACATTTAAGCCCTCTGGAACAGGTGAGACCTACCCACATAGCCCTATGTGGTCTAGGTATACACTGAACATATAGATATGAGTCTGCATGTGATTGCTCTGCACACCTGTGTGAACAACCTCATGTGTGCACCTGCTCTGGCTTCCTAGCCATTCTCCATTTCCCAGTGTCACTGCCACTGTCTTCCAATAGGAAAGCTGTGCTCGTGTCCTGCTTTTCCGTGGAGCCAATAAGGATGTCCGCAATTACAACAGCCAGACAGCCTTCCAGGTACATGTTGGTTTACAGGAATATGAGGCTGCCTCTGGGGGTTGACTGTCTCCTTGTGATTCAGCCTTTCTGAATCTTCTTCCCAGGAAGGCATTGCTCACTCCCAGGAAAGAATGGAGGCAGGGTGAGTCCAGTAGGATATTCAGTGAAGTGATTTCTTTTATCTACCTTTCAGGGAGCTAGGAAGATCAGAGGGCTGCAGAATGGGGGAAGGGCAGATGAGAGGACAGGTGAGCAGGTGTAGGTGTGACCCCTGGAAGTAGAAGGGACCCAGAGGACTAATCCAAGAGGGGGTTCCTGAAATGTGAAAGATACAGACTGGTGTGATAGTGCAGTAGAGAAGAGTCAGGCTGAGATGTAGGCATCAGGGCACATCTAAAAGAAACGCCAGGGCCAATCAGATGACTAGGTGTTACGGTTATAAGGAGGAAGAATGAGAGCAATAGGCTGGGCAGCCATGGGGGGCCCTGGTTGAGACAGGATAGAGGACTATATTTAGGGGCAGATTAAAAGTTCTAGTGCTGTGCCCTGTGTACTGAGGGCTGTTTGGTTTTAGCTCTGAAAGCCTAGTATCTAGGAATAGATTGAGTTCTTGGCAGATGGGGGTGGTAGGTGACCCTAGTTACAAGTTGAGGGGTAGTACCATAACTCCTTTCTGTAGTGAGTTGTCTCCCAATAGATAGGAGTGCTTTGACTTGAGCAAAGCATGATCTGGTAAGGAGGAGTACTGTGGTGAGGCAAGCCTAGGCCACTGAGAATCCTTTCTTTTCTTTCTTTGCTTTTTTTTTTTTTTTTTTTTCAGTTGTGGGGCTTGAACTCTGGGCCTGGGTGCTGTCCTTGCGCTCTTTAGCTCAAGGCGAGCACTTTACCGCTTGAGCCACAGCACCACTTCCAGTTTTCTAGTGGTTTATTGGAGATAAGAGTCTTCTGGACTTTCCTGTCTGGGCTGGCTGTGAACCGCGATTCTCAGATCTCAGTCTCCTGAGTAGCTAGGATGACAGGCGTGAGCCACCGGTGCCCGGCTTCTTTGCTTTTTTTTGAGCATCCTTTCTTGTCCTCTGTGTCTTGGCCTCTTTCTCTCAGGTGGCCATCATTGCAGGGAACTTCGAGCTTGCAGAGGTCATCAAAACCCACAAAGACTCAGATGTTGGTGAGTTTTGCCCACCCATAAGTCCCTGATCGATGTAATTTTTAGAGGCAGTGGTGATAGAACGAGGGCCTCTGCCCATGAGCCAAGCCAAGGTGGCTCTTGTAGGTATGGGGAATATGCTGGGGAAGGGGTTGTATGGACTGGGCAGAAGCCTCAGTCAGGGCTGGGATAATGCGAGTCTAGGGGTTGATGTTGGGCTTAGAGCTGTGTTTGCAGTTAATTAGGTTCTGGGAAGGGCCATCTATGGGACATTTTCATTTTAGCCTAGAACATGAGAACATTTATGTAGCCATGGTAGCCATGGTTCTCCACAGGGTCTCATGAACATCCATGTAGAGAAAACAACATATTATAACAAAGATGAAGTCCAAGCTAGGAACAGAACTGATGCTATCCTCTAGGCCAAGGGGTTTGCGTTTCTGGTGGTCCATGTATAAATGAAGGCCTGGCATGTGCATAAGTTGTCCTAAAAGGAAGACCAGGGCTTTGTAGCTCAGCCCCAGTATGGGTAAGAAGAAAGGCCCCAATTGTATTCCCTCATCTCTTGGATGTGTGGTGTCAGACTGGACCATTCTTTGTGTTCAGGTGGCTGAGCAGCAGGGGCTGTGGATCTCTGCTCCAGGAAAAGATATTGTCTGGCTAGGCCATACTCTAGTCACTGGCTGCCTCCTTGTCCTCCTTGTTTCTAACTATCTCTTTCTGGAACATGGAATCTCAGATTCTCCTTCTTGCATGAATATTTACTTGGGCTGGTGTTAGAATCTCTCTTGGTTCCAATGTAGGTTCCAGTCTGTGATGCTTTGCTTTCTTTTAAGTAAACTATGTACCATTATTTGTATCCCTTTCTACCTTGGCCTCCTTTGAGCTCAGGAGGGGTTCCACCTTCCTCCCACCTCCTTCCTCCCACCTCGTGGGACGTGTACTTTGTGTAGCTGATTGGGCCTGTGGTTGGAGTGCAGGGGGAGTAAAGGCATTCTAGAGCTTGGATGCAGTCCAGACTGAGAGATAGGAACATTGCACTGCCCTATCCTCAGGCTCTGGAGCATTACCATACTGAGACTCCTGTTCTGGGGCATTCTGGTGCAGTTGGTTAAGCACATTGTCCTTAGAACACTAGAATGGGCATCTGTGTCACCTAGTCCAGATATGGTCACCAGTTCTGCTAGCCACACATTCTTGCTCAGATGTCATATACTCAACAATATCCATTTATGCAAGGTGCTACAGTTGTGGGATTTACTGTGAATTTTCGTACCTCAGTTCTTCCTCTCAACAACTCTTAAGGGTGGGGGATAGACTGGCTCATTTTATAGAGAAGGAAACCAAGGTTCAGAGAAGTTAATAACAGGGCCTGACCCTGGATCTGGGATTCAGGGTCTTGTTACCCTCTCTCCCCTGCTCACCAGCACATATTTATTCTGAGACACTCTGAGTGACAGTCATGAATCTCCATGGCCCACCCAAGGTCCTTGAGCAGGCCCTGCACATCAGAAGCTTGAGGGGACTCTTCCAAGCCATTCTTTTCCAACTTCCTTTTTGTGGTCACCCTTCAGAGGACAGGACACTTTCTATCTCAGTGGCTATCTCCTGTTGTAGACCAATAAGCCTTTGATAGGATGCTGGCCTGTCAAGTGAGTAACTCGGCTTGCTGCCTCTGTCACTAGGCCATGTTCTTTCTGACTCTCTCTCAGGCATGTTCCCATCTACGTGGGTACCATTCATGCTTCTTATGCATATCCTTTTTTTTTTTTTTGGTCGGTTGTGGGGCCTGACCACTGGGCCTGGGCATTGTCCCTCAGCTCTTCAGCTCAAGGCTAGTGCTCAACCTCTCCAGCCACAGCACCACTTGTGACTTTTTCTGCATATGTGGTGCTGAGGAATCGAACCCAGGGCCTCATGAGTACAAGGCAAGCACTCTTATCACTGAGCCACCTTCCCAGCCCCCCTTATGCATATTCTTTACTGACTTGCTTTTGTTGAGTGTCATGGTGACATCACCCGAAGAGCTTGAGTAGATTCTGACCCAGAGCCTGGGTGGGGCCTGAGCTGCACTAATCAGCATAAGGTGAGGTTGGAGGTAAGGCTAATGCTGTTGATTTGGGCACTACATTTTGTACAATAGGGGTCTGGATACGGCTTGGTAGATGGTGGCCACAGGCCAAATCCACACTATAGCCTTTTGTTTATTTATTTATTTGTTAGTCCTGGGGTGTGAACCTAGGGCCTGGGCACTGTTCTTGAGCTCTTTAGCTCAAGGCTAGTAGTGCTCTACCACTTAGAGCCACAGCCCCACTTCCCATTTTCCCGTGGTTAATTGGAGATAAGAACGTCACAGACTTTTCTGCCTAGGCTGGCTTTAAAATATGATCCTCAGATCTCAGCCTCCTGAGTAGCTAGGATTATAGGTGTGAGCCACCAGTGCCTGGCTAAGTTTTTGTTTTTTTGAGGATGTGTGTGTGTGCGTGTGTGTACATGTGTATATATGTATATATACATATATTAGCTTTGTTAATTGATCCAGTAGCATTTTTTTTTTCTTCTCTACCACTTGAGCCAAAGCACCACTTCCAGTTTTCTAGTGGTTTTTATTGAAGATAAGAGTTTCATGGACTTTCCTGCCTGGGCTGGCTTTGAACTGTGGTCCTCAGGTCTTAGCCTCCTGAGTAGCTAGGATTACAGGCATGAGCCACCAGTGCCCAGCTTTCCAGTAGCATTTCTTACACTCACAGTGTAGTGTAATTTATTGAATTCTCATTTTCATTGCCCCAAAAGAAAAATCTCAACACATTAAGTAATTATTCTGCATACTCTCTCCCTTCCAGTTGTCTGCTGTGAACACACGTTTCTGTCTCTGTGTATTTACCGATTCTTGCTGTTTCATATAATTGGAATCATGCAGTTTGTCCCTTTGTGTTTTTATTTTTGTTTGTTTGTTTTTTTTTTGAACTCTGGGCCTGGGTGCTGTCTCTCAGCTCTTCAGCTCAAGGCAAGTGCTCTACCACTTGAGTCACAGCACCACTTCCAGTTTTCTGGTGGTTAATTGGAGATAAGAGTCGTCATGGACGTTCCTTGCCCGAGTTAGCTTTGACATGATCCTCAGATCTCAGCCTCCTGAGTAAGCTAGGGTTACAGGAATGAGCCACCATTACCCGGATGCTACATACTATTAAACTTTAGCGTCTAGGTATTCTGCAGCTCGTGAATGAGGGTAGCCCCTTGCTGGGAGAGGCAAGAGGGGACACCTTTTTTTCTTACAAATAAGTTGAGGGGACACTTTTAAATTTTATTTTTATTTATTTTATTAATACGTATTAGTTGTATGATGAGGGTTTTATTGTGACATTTTCACATATGTGTACAGTGTATCTCAATCTCACCCGTTCTGTCGCCCCCCACTTCTTAAAATAATTTTAACCTGTTTTATTTTTCTTTTCTCATACATGCACACGAAATTCTTCCACTGTACTCTCGTCATTCACCATCTTTGTTAGCCTGACTAGCTCCTGCTGGGACTTGCTTCCCTAACACAGCTTGCTTTTTGATCCCCAAACCCTCAACCTGTTGACTGACAGCTTTCACTGAGAGTCTTTTTATTATGAAAAAATTATTTTAAGTACTTATACAAAGGGGTTTCAATTTATTTACTTATACATGTATTTGTGTATAGTTGCAATGTATTGCAAAAATGTTCACATTTGATCTTTTTCCTTTTTTTTTTTTTTTGTCGGTCATGGGGCTTGAACTCTGGGCCTGGGCGCTGTCCCTCAGCTCTTCAGCTCAAGGCGAGTGCTCTACCACTTGAGCTACAGCGCCACTCCCGGTTTTCTGGTGGTTTATTGGAGATAGGAGTCTCACGGTCTCTCCTGCCCGGGCTGGCTTTGAACCGCGATCCTCAGATCTCAGCCTCCTGAGTAGCTAGGATTACAGGCGTGAGCCACCAGCGCCCGGCGATCTTTTTCCTTTTAAGAGAGGAAATATCTATCCATCTTCTTACCTATCTCTGCATGCATGCTTGCCAGGAGGCCTCGGGGCCTTGTGCTTTGTTTGCCTTTTTTACTCAAGCCTGGCATTCTACCACTTGAGCTACAGGTTTTTCCTGGTTAATTGGTAATAAAAGTCTCTTAGACTTTTCTGCTTTGGCTGGCTTCAAAACACAGTCCTCAGATCTCAGCCTCATGAATAGACATGAGCCAAGGGCTCAGTCTTTTTTTTTTCTGGTCCTAAGGCTTGAACTCAGGGCCTGGGCACTGTTGCTCAGCCTCTTTGTGCTCAAGGCTAGTAGTGTTCAAAGGGAAACTTTTTTGAAAGTATTTGAAGAAACAAAACAAGGAAAACAATGATTGGTTAGAAGTTAGTTGATGGCTTCTTATTGGTGCAGTTTTTTTTTTTTTTTTTTTTTGGGTCTGGTCATGGGGCCTGAACTCTGGGCCTGGGCTCTGTCCCTCAGCTCTTCAGCTCAAGGCTAGTGCTCTACCACTTGAGCCACAGCGCCACTTCTGGCTTTTTTCTTTTTGCTTATGTGGTGCTGAGGAATCGAACCCAGGGCCTCAGGCATGCAAGGCAAGTGCTCTACCACTGAGCCACCTTCCCAGTCCCTTATTGGTGCAGTTTCTAGTTTCAGTTTACTGCTTGCTTTGGCCTTTGGTTTCTTTTTGGGTGCTGTCCCTCAGCTAGCGCTCTACCACTTGAGCCTCAGCCCCACTTCTGGCTTTTTCTGCTTATGTGGTTCTAAGGAATTGAACCCAGGGCCTCATGCCTCATGCATGCAAGGCAAGTACTCTACCACTGAGTCACCTTACCAGTCCCGGCCTTTGGTTTCTACAGTAAGAATTTAGAAACTAATAATAAATAGCATCTCAATTAGATTTTTTTTTTTTTTTAAAAACAACCCATTTCTTTTGGCCAGCCTCTCATTCATGTGAGATTGACCAAAACCTGGGAATTAAGTGTCACCATGGTAGCCGATTGTCTTTCTGTCAGAAGTAGAATTCATAAGTCCT